CTCCACTACACTACACTACAACTACAGCTACAACTGCAACTACAACTGCACTACACCACACTACATCCAGCAGTTGTGGTGAGGTGACCGCTGCAACCATTGCAACCACTCCAAAAAACACAACTCCAACCACCTGTCGTTCCATCAGTGGATTCGCTCTGCCATCCATGATTCACAACAACCAACCTCTGCTATAGGTTCCTATTTTTGAAACTTCCGCCACCGCCTTGTGCGGCACTACTGGTATATAATATTGTAACATGTATATGAATGGACAACGGATTTTCGGATTCACCCAACTTGCCAAAGCTATATATCACTAGAACTACACATCACAGGCATAGATAATCCAGATACCCTGCAACTGGGCATGCCATATTTCCCCCATCACGAAAAAACAGGCCAAAATAACCCATATATACCGATGAATCCCCCGATCATCCATCAAAACCGTGGAAAAGAAACACATTCCCCACAAGGCTCAGAGTAAATTAGGATCCGCAGGGTACGAACCCAGATTTAATACAATACTTCTGCTTGTTAGCTGATGTAGCTCCCATTCCTTCTTCCAGCAAAGATCCAAACAGGGATTACTGCCAACAACCAGACATTTCCCCAAAATTTCCTGGCAAATTACTAACGACCTCCCCAAGGTTTACCCAACAAAACTCCATCACAAAAAACAGATCTCAAAATTTTCAATCCGAAAATCGAAAAAAAAATCACTCTCCTAAACTTCTTCTCAAGGCTTCCCCCAACATCCGGAAAAATCCAATGGCCTCCGCGGAGGTTTCTGCAACTTGGGGTTCACTCAGGGCTTTGTTCTCGCTGCCGCCGCCGAGACCTACCGCAGCGACCAGGGTCCGGAGCTGTGGCGCTTCATGCCGGCGGTGCGGGGTGGTCCGGGGTAGGGGCCAGGGGGGGCCCGGTGGGGCCTGGGGTGGGGTGAAGAAAGATATCCCAGCTCTAGAAACCGGGCTATGAATGGGGGATTTTCCATTACCATGTGAGCTCCGCATTCAAGATCCAATACCGATGGGTTCTACTTCTATATCATTGACTGTGAATCACCATTTGAGTGGGTTTCAACCATCTTTTTTCCGATTTTCTTGTGAGTTGGACCCGACTTGTACGTGGGAACATGCAGGCGATGGAACGGTTCCGCCAGTGGGCGAGGGAGACGGGACGATCACCTTGGGTCCACGAAAGCATGGTCTTCGTTCCATACTGACGTCCCTGGGGTGGCGCAAGGGTCCATGTCTTCTGGCCCCAAAATGACAAAATGAGATCCCGCCCAAATTCCAAAATGATTCTGTGATTTTTTTGTTGACTGTTCTTAAGAAGTGATCATTTGTAACATTTTGGCAAGGAAAAAACTGCCCCCGCAGAAAGCGTGGATCTTGATTCCATGGAGCATACATTCATCAAACCCTCAAACAGTAGAGGGCGGACAGCACAATTCACCACAGAAACCCTAACATGGAACAAAAAACTTTCTTTTGGGATAATTGTTAACATGGAAAAAAAACTAGAGTACTTTTCTTGGCACCAGCCATCCCAGAAGAGATGGACCCTCTGCGACCTGAGACTTTTTTTGGGCGCGCGATTTTGCCACACTTTTTTACGCCCAGAATCAGGTGTTGGTTTTCCCCGGTTTTTCAGGGGTATCAAGCAGATAAAAAGAGCCGAAATGCCATAGACATCTCAAAATTGAGGCGAATTGAGGCCCTCAAACAGCAGCTGCCTTTTTGGACAGACTTGGGGGATGGGGGTGTCTAGATGTGAGCACAAAAAACCGATAAAAACCTGACAATCCATCCGGCGCCTGGATGCGAGCTGTGGAAGTCACTCGGCAATTTAAAAGGCCCGGATTTTTGGGGCCCTAGATACAACATCTGGGCAGTTGGAGGATGTGTTGAACTTGCACGATTTTTCCGAAGCATAGGGAATTAGGGATTTGATGATTTGATGATTTGGATGTGGCTCAAAATTCTCTCAGAGGATGCCACAGATTGCATGTGGCAAAATTGGTTTTGATTGGATTGATTCTAAATGGATTGGAATGCTTTGGTCTCCAGAATGACCAGCTTTACCGGGCACAAAATATGGTTTTCGCCATGGTTTTCGCCGCCAAATTTGAGCCAGATCCAGTTCATGGCAAACTGCCAGACTTTTAAGATCTTCGTTCTCCTGAAAAGGGTTCGTTGCGAAGATCTGGTTTTATTTATGATCCAGGCCACTGGGCAACGGAGCAGCGAATCTACGCCCGAGAGATATTTATTATAGTTTATTATTTGTTGTAGCAATTGCCCAAAAAATAGAAGTGCAAGAAGTGCAATTGATCACTATTCTTAGTATGTTTTTTCTTTTCCATCTTTTTGTTTGTGCTATACTTGAGCAGTTTTGACTGGCTTGTATCAACTTCACCAACAAGTTCTTGGAAGATATGAACTACTCATCGCGGAAGTCCACTAAGACAGGCTCAGAATTTGTTGGGTTTTGTTGAAGTTATCGACCAACATTCTAGATATGGAAAATCCATGAAAATCCACCAATTGTAGATGAGTTTCCCATTAGAACCTCCATGTAAAGGGGATTTTCCATTGCCATGTTTGATTACCGGAGGGTAGCGGTCTTTAGTTCAATCTGCATCCACCGGACTGGAGTCTAAATGTATCTGACTGGTCAATCCATGCTTTTCTGTATATATAGATCCTCCCTTTAACTAACATGAAGCAATGAACAATGCTATCAACAATACAGTTACACATAGTTACACCTTTTTTAGTGGATGGAAAAACCCGATTTTCCGTTTAAATATCACATTGTTTCCCCAGACCCCCTGGTGTTTGATGCTGCTTTCACGTGCGGTGTCCGAGACCCAGCGACAGAAGTCTCGCAAAAAAAATGTGGGACCTGCAGGGTACCAATGGAGCTTAATAGTGATTAAATAGTGATTGAATAATGATTAATAATTATTAATAATGATTAAATTGGAGTTTCCATAAATTGGGGTACCCCAATAGCTGGATGGTTTATAATGATTTGTAATGGAAAATCTTATTAAAATTGATGATTTGGGGTGCCCCCATTTCAGGAAACCTCCAACTGAGTTACATTGAGGCCTCTAGGTCAGATATGTGGTGGCTGAATCCCAATTCTTTGTGCCGTTTGATCTCAAGTCTTCGCGCTTCAATCCCGTTTCTGTGCATATACATATACAAATATACATATATACATGTATACATGTATACATATATACATGTATACATACATACATACATACATACATATATACATATATACCTATATGCACATATATATATATATATGTATACATACATGCATACATACATACATAGATACCCTAACCAGACCTAACCTAAACTAAACTAAACTAACCTAAACTAAACTAAACTTACCTTACCTTACCTTACATTACATTACATTACATACACACACATATATATATATACATGTGCTATGATCGAAACATGGAGTATTCACCACAGAAGGGGATGGTCATCCCCAGCATAGGGGTGAACATACCCATGATTGAAGGATTCCTAGTTATGATGGGATGAATCAGTTTTTTTCCCCACCTGCCAGGTGAGGGTTGTTAGATTTTATCTAAGTTGCCTGGTCCTCCTCCTCCTCCTGCCTCCTCCTCCTCCTCTCCTCCTCCTCTCGTTGTCCTCCTCCTCTCGTTGTCCTCCTCCTCTCGTTGTCCTCCTCGTCCTCCTGCTCAACTGCGACTCGCGATCCACAGTGTTCTCTGTCGGACCTCAACCACGACCATCCACGCCCAGTGTTCCCTGCCGGACCTCAACCACAACCATCCACGCCCAGTGTTCCCTGCCGGACCTCAACCACGACCATCCCCGCCCAGTGTTCCCTGCCGGACCTCAACCACGACCATCCACGCCCAGTGTTCCCTGCCGGACCTCAACCACGACCGTCCACGCCCAGTGTTCCCTGCCGGACCTCAACCACGACCATACACGCCCAGTGTTCCCTGCCGGACCTCAACCGCGAGTATCCATGCCAAGTGTTCCCTGCCGGACCTGAACCACGAGCATCCACGCCCAGTGTTCCCTGCCGGACCTCAACCGCGAGGATCCATGCCAAGTGTTCCCTGCCGGACCTCAACCGCGACTTCCAGATCGCAGTGGGCACTGCCGGACCTCAACGGCAAGAAAGTCAGAAAAGATGTCAGATAGAATGTCAGAAGATATGTCAGAAAGAATGTCAAAAGATATGCCAGACAGAATGTCAGAAGATATGCCAGAAAGAATGTCAGAAGATTTGCCAGATAGAATGCCAGAAGATATGCCAGATAAAATGCCATGAGATATGAGAAGATATGCCAGATAGAATGCCAGAAGATATGCCAGATAGAATGCCAGAAGATATGCCAGATAGAATGCCAGAAGATATGCCAGATAGAATGCCAGAAGATTTGCCAGATAGAATGCCAGAGATATGTCAGAATATATGCCAGAACATATGCCAGAAGATATGCCAGATAGAATGCCAGATAGAATGCCAGAAGATATGTCAGAATATATGCCAGATAGAATGCCAGATAGAATGCCAGAAGATATGTCAGATAGAATGCCAGAAGATATGCCAGATAGAATGCCAGAAGATTTGCCAGATAGAATGCCAGAAGATATGCCAGATAGAATGCCAGAAGATATGTCAGAATATATGCCAGAAGATATGCCAGATAGAATGCCAGATAGAATGCCAGAAGATGCCAGATAGGATGCCAGAAGATATGCCAGATAGCCAGAAGATCTGCCAGAATGCCAGAAGATATGCCAGATAGAATGCCAGATAGAATGCCAGAAGATTTGCCAGATAGAATGCCAGAAGATATGCCAGAAGATATGCCAGATAGATATGCCAGAAGAAAAATAGAATGTCAGAAGATATGTCAGATAGAATGCCAGAAGATTTGCCAGATAGAATGCCAGAAGATAGAATGCCAGAAGATATGCTAGATAGAATGCCAAATAGAATGTCAGAAGATATGTCAGATAGAATGCCAGAAGATTTGCCAGTAAGAAAATGTATAAATGTCATGGTGGGGATCACACGAAGTAAAGTAATTTTTTTCTATCCCATGTTGAATCCCATTGTTGATGGTTTCCCATTCTATATGCCATGTTTCTGTGGAATTCCTGATGGGATGTTCTCCATCTCCATGGCCCGCTGCGATTCCTTGGGATTTTCCAGCTGGAACTGATGACCCAAGGGTAAATCATCTTAAATCCCCATCAAAACACCATTAAAGCACCATTAAACCACCATCAAAACACCAACTGCCTATTGCGCAACGGCAGGCAGAGCCTAGAGCATCACTTCCTGGACCTCGCGAAGAAGCGACGCTGGAAGGCAGGGCAGGGAGTTGGATCTTCGCAGATGGTTTGACAGGTTTGATGGGTTTGATAACTTTTTTTTGGATGGATTTATGCACGTTCTAGATGGACATTAGTAAACCATGGGAAATGGATTTGAGATGGGATTCATAGATGGATTCTAGATCCGGATTAACAGATGTGTGTTCAAAATGGGATTTCATCAATCAACCGTTGGGATTTAAGAGATAGACTAGGATGACTAGATGGATTTAAGAGGTATATATAGCGATCCCCAAACCCAAAAAAAATCTGAAAAGGTTAATTTCCCTAAATTATTCTGGATTGGGATTTTATGAACATCTACTTTTTTTGGGTAGCTATGAAGACGTGGCTTTAAACCAATCAAAAGGGATTCGAACCAGATAAAAATTGGGATTTAGCCCACTTAACTCACAACAAAGGTGTTTAACTGAGAAACATTGGGGTTCACCAAATGTAAATTGGGATTTCACCAATAAAACGAGGACATTGAACCCATGAATTTCGACTAAAACCCTGGATGGAACTGGGAACATTTGGAAAAATCAAGAGGTATATAAATACTGGAAATGAATGAACATGAATACAGGGGCCTAAGATTTACAATGATTTACTCAGATATCATATATTAATAATCATCTTTTTCTTCCGAAATCGTCCCAGAAATGCAGATCGACCTCAATCATGCTGGACCCGATACAGGCGATACAGGCGAAGATCAGAACTAACAAGTTATTCTTGGTTCAACTGGATACTGTCTCTATCTTCAGTGCCATGATCACTGTAAGGTATATGCGCAAGTCCTAGGGGAAATGACACCCCCTTG